GGGCGCGGGGGAGGGGACGCGGGAGCGCCCAGGGCCTGAGCGGGAGATGGGTGGGGGGAGGCATGCAGCCCGCTCACCGGACCCCTCCCGCGCCGGGACCCTTGCGCCGCCGGGCGCGCCGCACGCGCTGAAGAACCATAGCTTTGCTTGGCCTACACGGGTTTATTGGGGATACGGATACCCATCCTTCATCCTCCATCACCTAAACCCTCCTCAGAGCCCGCCCCAGCTCCTCGGAGACCTAGCGCGGTCCCGAGGGGGTTAAAACAACACCGACTACTGCTCCCGGACAGGAAGTGACTGGGGCGCGGGGAAGCGGGGGGAGGGGGAGGCGGGGAGAAGGGGCGGGGTAGGCAAGCTCCGCGACCAGATGTGCAACTCCTACTCCAGATGTTCTTCATCTCCGTCCGACCCGTGGTCTGCGCTCCTCCTCTGCCTCGCCCTGTGCCAGGCTGGGAATTGGACAGAGGTCACCGGGAGGTAGTGAGGATCAGCCCCCAACAGGGGAGGAATCTCCCGTGGGGGCTTTGGTAAAAGGAACCCCACTGAATAATTTCCCTGACGCTGGTGGGCTCTGGGGGCGCTGAGGGGGTGCTGGGGTCACTCGCAGGCCAGCTTCCCGTCGAAGCTGGAGAGGGCGATGGCGAAGGCCTGCAGGGCGCACAGCGGATACCGGTAGTCCAGGGTGAAGGCGTCTTCCGCCACGCGGCCAAACTGCAGCACGATGTAATCAGCTGTAGGCACAGGCAGAGGTAGGGACGGCTGAGACATCCTGGGATCCCCGTTCTGGCAGGCAGTACCCTCAACATTAAGAGAGTTTCTCTCCCTTTCTTTGGACCATAACCTTCAGCGACCACTTAGTTACTTATCCTCCACCCATTGCCCTCTGCTCCTGTATCTTTAATCAGCCCCACCTGCAGCTTTACCACCCATCAGACTGTAAGCCCCTGAGGCAAGGACACTGTCTTATCTGTGGGCCACCCAGGGCCTTGCATATAGCAGGTACTTAATCAAGTGTGGAACACTGTCCAACTTCCCCAACCCTAGAACCCTTCTATTCCAACTTGTCTGGCCCCATCCCTTCTATTTCCCTTCCTCAGCCAGTGGCCCCACTCAGCCCCCATCTCATCTCTGGCCCATGTTCCCAGCCTCATACCATCACTTCCCACAGCATCCATAGGGACAGGAAGCTGCTAAAAATATCCCAACCTCTGCACACCAGGCTCTAACAGAAACGTGATCTGGAGAGCAGTTTTCCAAGACCATGGGACAGGTGACAAGGGGGAATTTACTCAGTATTAGCTCAATCCTGTGAACCTGGAGTCCCTTGGGAGGTATCCTTCCATCTCCAAACTTCCTTACCCCAGTGGGGGCCTCTCCCCCAGGCTTGTAAAAGGGACATTTTACTTAATTATATTCTGGGTACATCTTGTTTTCCTAATTCCTATAGGGCAAGGCTCTGACCTCCCTCGCAAGAACAAAGAACAGACATTCAGAAATGCTCCATCAATGTCTTGAAGTTAAGAGCCTGGGCACTAGAACCAGGTTCTCTACTTTGGTTCTAATCCCAAGTCTACCTCTTACTAGCTGTGTGACCTTGGGCAAGTCACTTAACCACTCTGCCTTATCTGCCAAATAGGCATAATAATAGTACCTTCCTCCCAGGGTTGTAGTCATGATTAAATGATTCAGTATCTGTGAAGTCCTGAGAAGAGTGCTTGGCATAGAAAGAACATTCCAAACAGGCAGTGTATTTGTGAAATAAAATAGGGCTGATGTAAATGCCTGGAGAAGCTAAGAGATGTTGGGCAAGGGGCTGCCCTCTCTGAGCTTCAGCCCTCTTTGACCACAAAGGAGTTGGTATTAGTGGTTTACAAACTCTAACAGCTCAACCCTTCCTTCAACACAGTTTAACCCAGGATACCCCAGTATCTACCCTAGGGCTCTGATCAATGTTGAAGGGAGAGTCTGGAACTCTGAGTCTCAAGACCTGATCAAAATATCTGAGGCTGCTGGGAGCACAGTACCAATGCCTCTGGTGGAGAGGATGACCTTGCTGGATGTTCCAACTCCAGATAAAGGACTGCACCAGGTGTGTGTGTGTGTGTGTGTGTCAGAGAGAGAGAGAGAGAGAGATATTGGTGGTGGGAGAGGCCTAAGTGAGAGTCAGGGTCCTCAGGAAGGGGTGAAGAGTCTGACCTTGATACTCACGGTCATCGGCGTGGACAATCTGGAAGTTCTTGACCGAGGCCTGGGTGACTCGTCCTTGGAAGTTGAGGGTATAGGAACCACTGTCCTCATTCCAGACAGGCGGTTTGTTGTGCAGCTCAATGAGGCTCTCCAGCGTTTTGTTCTGCCAGCGCACCAGCAACCCATCGCTAGCCTGGGGAGCCCAGGTGAGTGGATAGGAAGAGGACAGTTAAGGGTGGCAAGAAAACTCAGGACCCACTGGAGGAAGAGCCTGCTACTGCAGCCCCCAGGTGCTAGCCTGAGGGCCCGTGCCTGCCCTTGTGAGTATGTGGGCGTGTAGCCAGGATGTCTACGTGTGCTTAGGGTGTCCCTGAGAGCAATCTTTGTCTCTGTGGTGTCCTTGTGGGTGGGATGGACATCTGTGAAGATGGAGCTTTATGGTCTGCGATGCCAAGGCAGAGAACAAGGAAATGGAAGCTGGGCCCTGCCATGTAAATGGTATCCTGCTGAGGGAACTGCCCCCTAAGACCATCACCTCCTACACTGATGTAGGGTCTGCTGAGCCTCTGATTAAGACATAGTTTTCCAGTAGGGAAAGGAGCTCTGGTGGTGCAGTGGTTAAGACATTTATTTGCCTGCTAACCAAAAGATTGGTGGTGTGAACTCACCAGCCATGGAGTACAAGGCAGTCTGCTTCTGTAAAGATTTACAGCCTTGGAAATCCAATGAGGGTTGCTATGAATTGGAATCGACTTGATGGCAGTGAGTTTGGTTAGTTATTCCAGGAGGGAAGGAAAAGTGATCCACTGGCAGGGGTATTTTTCAGTGTAAATTAGTTAAGTGATATTGGTCACCCATAAGTATTGGGCATACAAGTCATTCAGTCTCTGACACCCTGGCTCACCTGACCTCCAGAGTGGACATTCTGTAGGAGGCCACACCTCTCCATTTTACCCCATACTTCCAACATTTACACACACACACACACACACACCCCCAAACCCACTGCCACTGAGTTGATCCTGACTCATAACGACCCTATAGGACAGAGTAGAACTGCCCCCATAGGGTTTCCAAGGCTGTAAATCTTTATGGAAGCAGCCTGCCTCATCTTTCTCCCACAGAGCAGCTAGTGGGTTTGAATCACCAACCTTCTGGTTAGCAGCTGGATGCTTTAACCACTGTACTACTGGGGCTCTCACACATGCACACAAAACAACCATTTGATTTTAAAACCTAAGTCAAATCATATCACTCCTTTACTCAAAACCCTGCTTATAAACTGCCATTGAGTCAACCGCTGACTCAGTGACCCCATGCACAAAGGAACAAAACACTGCCAAGTCCTTCACCGTCCCCATGATGGGTTGTGGAACAGACCACTGTGATCAGTAGGGATTTCACTGGCTGATTTTCAGAAGTAGAGCACCAGGCCTTTCTTCCTCATTTGTCTTAGTCTGGAAGCTCTGCTGAACATAGCTTTCCCATTTAAAAACCACAGTTACAAGGTCCTGATTGTCGCCTTTCCCTTGCCTCTCTGACCTTGTCTTGTTACAGCCACCCTGGCCACCTCCTACCTCAGCACCTTTGTACTGGCTGTTCCCTCTGCTTGGATGCTCTTCCTCTAGATCTCTGCAGGCTCACTCTCTCACCTCCTTGTTGTTGTTGTGTGCCGTCGAGTCGGACCCAACTCATAGTGACCCCTCCTTGGGTTGCCGAGGCAGTATCACTACGGAAGTAGATTGCCCAGCCTTCCTTCCAAGGAGTGGCTGGTGGGTTTGAACCGCCAGCCTTCTGGTTAGCAGTCAAGTGCCTTAGGCACTATGCTACCAGAGCTCCTCTCTCACCTTCTTCAGGCTACAGAAGTCTCACCTCCTCAGTGAGGCCCACTCTCACCACTGTGTTTAATATTGAAAAATACACGCATGCACACTTCCCATCTCTGTTTTCTTGTTTCCTTTTTTTTTTTTTTTGCATAGCACTTATCACCTTCCAACATATTTCATCATTTACCTATTGTCATGATTATTGTCTACTGTCTGTCTTCCTCCACAAGAATGCCAGCTTGTTGAGGGCAGAGATCTTGTTTTGCCCTCTGATATCTTTTAGATGTCTAGACCAGCGTAGTTGGTACTCCATAATGTGTGGTGAATAAATACATGAATGAATGATTTGATGGAAAGTGTGGGAAAAACCTGCTGTGGTTATCTTAGTGAATTCAGTTACAAAAACCTGAATCCATTCAACAGTTTGCAGTAAAGATCCCTGGGAGAATGAATTGTGGATACAAATGATGACTGTGCTCAGAAGGGTTGAGGATTGGTCAGTCCTCACCCCTCAGCCCCCTCAGGGTAAGTCACATAGGAGCAGGGAGGTACAGGACTCACATTTCGGGGCCGGATGGGGACCCTCTCATTGTCCGCACTCATGCCCGGAATGATGACAGTCATGCGCCGGGGACCGCGGAAGCCCAGCACATTGGTTTCCTGGGAGGGAGATGCCCATAAGGTTGGCCCTTGCAAGGAGAGGGGCCTGGCATGGAGGACAAGGGGAGTTCTCACATAGATCACGGCTGCCAGCTCCTGACGCAGGCTTCCCACGTCAGCGCCCCCTCCTCCACGGTGTGGGTTTTGCCCGTTGTCAAAAACGGTGAAACGGTTCCCCAGGAGGTTAGACCTGTAACCAGGATGGGGCTGAGGGGATTCCACACACCTGTCCCAAGACCCTTCCTCACAGCCAAACAGTTTTGAGAACTTCCTCAGTGGAGAGTGGGGTGTCTTGGGATAGAACAATCCATGTCCCCTAATGTTTGGAAGATCTTTTTAAAAGCTCTGGATCTAAGAGACTGGGCAGCATTCAAATCCCAGTCCTATCTCTTACTAGCTAGGTGACCTTAGACAATTTACTTAGTCTCTCTGAGTCTCAGTTTTCCCCATCTGTAAAATGGGCACAATAACACTATCTATCTCATTTGGTTATTAAAAGGATTAAATGAGTTAATATTTGGAAGTTACTTAAAATTATGCTTGGTACATAGATTGTTGTTAGGTGCTGCTGAGTTAATTTTTAACTTATAGTAACCCCATGTGACAGAGTAGAAGTGCCCCACAGAGTTTTCTAGGCTGTAATCTTTACAGAAGAGGCTTTGGTGGTGCAGTGGTTAAGAGCTTGGCTGCTAACTGAAAAGTTGGTGGTTCAAACTCACTAGCCACTCTGCAGGAGAAAGATGTGGTAGTCTGCTTCCATAGTGATTAAAAAAAAAACAAAAACTCACTGTCTGTGGAGTCGGATCTGACTCATAGCGACCCTTTCTCGGGTTTCCAAGGCGGTATCACTACAGTAGATTGCCCAACCTTCCTTCCAAGGAGTGGCTGGTGGGTTTGAAGCATCAGCCTTCTGATTAGCTGTCAAATGCCTTAGGCACTACACCACCAGAGCTCCCCCTTAATGATTGTACCCTTGGAAACACTAAGGGACTGTACTGCTCTATTCTACAGGGTTGCTGTAAGGCATCTACTCAGAGCAATGGGTTTGGAGAGCAAATCGCCAGGTCTTTTTTTTCCTGTGGGAGCGCTGGTGGTGTAGTGCCTAAGCCATTTGACTGCTAACCAGAAGGCTGGTGGTTGAAATCCACCAGCCACTCCTTGGAAGGACGACTGGGCAATCTACTTCCATAGAGATACTGCCTCGGAAACCCAAGAAGGGGTCGCTATGAGTTGGATCCCACTTGACAGCAGTGTTTTATTTTTTCCTCCTGTGGAGCTGCTGGGTGAGTTTGAACCACCAACTTTTACTTAACATTTATATAAGTTAAATAAAATAAATAAGGCCTGACTTAGGGTACATCCACAAATACTTCTTAGATTTGTGGTGAACACTACATCAGATAACAAGTGAGGAGATACAGCTTAGAGTAACCAAAACCAAACCAAACTCGTTGCCATGGATTGAATTCCAACTCATAGTGACACTATAGGTTGGAGAAGAACTGCCCAATAGGGTTTCCTAGGCTATAATCTTTAGGGAAGCTGACTGCTTCATCTTTCTTCCGTGGTTGGTAGATTCTAGCCGCCGACCTCTCAGCAGCTGAGCCCTTCACCTCTGCACCACCAGGACTCCTTAGCATAGGAGTAGGAGTATGCTACTCCTTAGCACAGAGTAGGGGCTGAATATTTGTTCATTCATTCACTCAGTAAATACTGAGTAGCTACTATGTGCCAGGTGTTCAACTATGAACAAAACAGCCACAGTCCCATTCTTGTGGTACTTATGCCCTGTTCCAGGTGAGGTCCGTGGGTCCCTGGGTGCTTGGTAGAAATGCAGAATCTGAGGCCCAGCCGAGACCCACTGACTCATTTGAACAAGATCCCCAGGTGAGCTGTGTACATTACAGTGTGAGGAGTCCTGGGCTAGGGGACATTTCCCCTGTGTTCCATGTAGTTGACACTGTGCCAGGCACAAGGGGCAGAGATGCCTGCTTGTGGCTCTCTGGCTGGCCCAAGTTTCCCAGCCTCTGGAAGCCCAGCCCCACCTCAGCTTCCCAATGAAGTTCTCCCCTCCTCGAGACATGTTGGTAGGGTCACTGGAGATGAGGTAATTGGCTGTTTTGCTGCGTTTCCGTTTCCTGCCAGCCAAGAGGAACACCTGGGGAGGGGGAAGCAGGTGAGAGGATGGGAAGAGAAGATGAGGTGGAGGAAGGAGGTGGGTGAAGGGAAAGAGGAGGACTGCTTGACCTGTAGCCTCTCCCTTCTTCTGGTCCTAGCCCCTCCCTCAACCCAGGTCCTGGCACCTCTGCTCACCCTTCCTTTGTCACCTCACCCCTACCCACCTTCTTCTCAGTGTCCAGGTGCAGAAAATAGGAAGGATACAGTCCCCGGTCCATGCCCTTCTTGTCCCGGGTCAGCCGGCAGCGCACAGTCCGGCCTTGGGGGGCAGGCCGCAGCACAAACTGTCCTGGTTCATCCACCTCCACAGGTGGGGATGGGGTCCTCTCTTCCTTCTGGGTGGGGGCAGAGGTGCATCAGCCCCAGAGCATCAGCCCCCACCCCCAGCTGGTCCCAGGTGCTGGGACATAGGTAAGGCAGGCAGGACAACTCACTGCTTTCTGCTGGGGAAGAGAACAGAGAAGTTGGTTAGAGCCCTAGCCTGGGACCCCAGAGGTTTCCCAACAGCCAGCACAGCAAGGCCATGTTAGGAGGCTCTGGGAGCTTTGTGCTGTATTATTATTCTGTGTAGCTTGTGGCTAAAAGACAGGCTCTGGAGGCAGACAGCCTGGATTCAAATCCTAATACCACCACTGACTGTCTGCTATGTTTGTTAAGTTTTAACACACTGTGACTCCATTATTATTATTATTATTCCCCTCTGAGAAGTAGGTAAGGGTAGAGGTAAACTTACTTAATTTATATAGTTAACAAATACTTTAATAAAGTCTACCAGTGGGCCAGGCCTAGTTCTAAGAACTTTGCAATATTAACTCACTTAATGCTCACACCAAACCACTGAGGTAATTGTCCCTATCTTACAGATGAGGAAACTGAGGCATAGAGAGGTTAAGTAACATGCCCAAATTAACATAGCTAGTAAGAGGAGGAAATGGGACTTGAATCCTGTCTAGTCTCCTATTAGATCAGCAGCCTTCAGAAACACTTCCCTCATGTAGATAACGTCTCAGGGTATTACTAAAACTGAGGGTACAGTAACCGTTAATGAAGTGTTAGCTGCTACAACTATTACTTTTGTTGTGTTAGTTGCTGTCAAGTCAATTCTGACTCATGGCAACCCCATGTGTACAGATCATTCACCTCTGAGTCCCAACCTTTTTGCCTTTTCCTTTCGCTTTGCCCTTCGGATTGCTGTTCTTGGTCGCTTCAGCTGCCACCTCCTCCTCTTCGTCTTCCTCCTTCCTCTCCTCTTCTGGGCCTTTGGAAGTACCTGAGCATGGAGGGAGGAATAAGTTGACCCCTTACCCTGATGGAGCACTTCACGATTTGCAAAGAACTTTTAATACCCATGTGTAGCTTGGACTCTTCCCACAACTTGAGAGCCTCAGAAAGACTAAGACACCTGCCCACGGCCACACAGCTATTAAAGTGGGGGTTGGGATGCCCCCAAATCTTCTGACTTTAGAACCCATGCTCCTTACCTTGCACTGCACCACATGATGTGTGGGTTCTCCAGCTTTCTGCCCCTGACTGCCTCATGGTATCAGGGTACCAGAGGTCACCACCACCCACCTTTCTTCTTCCAAGTCTTCTTGGCTGGGTCACCTTCCTGAACCAGAAACATGGCTTCTGGGACCTTCTTCCTCACTCTGGATGGGCTCCCTGAGGGGTGCTTGTCAGCCTCCCCAGGCGCTGCATGTGTGGATGGGAGAGGGTCACTATCTCCCATACCCAAAGCCCCTTGCTCCTCTGGAGACCAGACTTACCTTTCTTCTTTGTCTTTCTCATCCTGGTCCCTTCCCCTGCTGGGGCCTCCTTCTTCTTAATTCGAAGAGGTTTCTGTGGGGGGACAGGACTTTCCAGGCCCCCTGGAAATGAGTGGTGGGTGTTAGACAAAGAAGGGACCTATCAGAGCTAAAGGCTACCTTCAGCCCACTCATCCTTCCTCTACAACTCAGGGAGGTTGACGGCTTCTGCTTGACTTGGCCTCTGAACTCCCTCCCTGCCCTAGTGCAAGGAAAACAAACAAACAAACAAAAAACAAACCCATTGCTGTTGATCAATTCTGACCCTTAGTGACCCTGTAGGACAAAGTAGAACTGCCCCTTAGGGTTTCCAAGGCTCTTATCTTTATGGAAGCAGACTGCCACATCTCTCTTCCAGAGTGGCTGGTGGGTTCAAGCTAAGCACTTTAATCACTACACAACCAGGGCTCCTGAATCCAGGAAAGAGGTGGGGCAGATATGAGGAGCTTAGCAAGCAATTGCTGAACAAATGGATGAATGAATGAATGGGTGCATGAATGAACTCCAGGCCTTTGAACTAAGCCTTTGAATCCCAGCTCTCACCCTGTCTCCTCTAAGAAACCTGTTCTGGCCACTGCTATAGACAGTGCTCTCTCCTTCCTGCAGAAGCCCAAGGTTCTAGTTGCCTGTACACATTTAGGGGAGATTGTGCTACCTGTAAGGCCAGGTACTCAGGCCAGGAGACCATCACATCATTTATTCATTGTTTTATTTTCACTGTTTGTTGTCAGGTGTTGTCCAATCGATTTTCGACTCATAGTGACCCTCTGTGACAGAGTAGAACTGCCCCATAGGGTTTTTTAGGCTGTAATCTTTACATAAACAGATTGTCAGCTCTTTCTTCTGAGGAGCCACTGGGTGGGTTTGAACCACCAACCTTTTGGTTAGCACTGTAATCACTTTGATATTTTTATAAGAACTATAATAATCATTCACATTGAGGTTTTTTTTAAGCTAAACAAAAATCATAAAGAAAGCTCTTCACTGGCTCGCAGAGCACCCTGGGCAGGGGGTGGTAAGAGTGGGGTCGTGTACATTGATCTGTGACCTTAAGGACCATCAAGGGGAAGAAATCATCAGAGGAAGAGACCCCTGGTCAAGGCAATTCCTGCATTAATGAGACTCCAAGCCCCCGTGGACAGGGGCTGTTTTTATGTGTCTGTGTGCTCCCTGTGACCCTCCACACCCACCCCTTAGGCCCTGGGCCTTGGTCCTCCTCTCCTTGGTGTCTGCAGAAGCCTTTTCTTTAGGAGGTTTCTTGGGAGGCAGAGGGATTTTCTCTTTCTTTTCCTCCTCCTCTTCTTCCTCGTCATCTTCACTGTCCTCTTCCTCATCGTTATCCACTGTAGGGAGAAACTCCTCATCAAGGACGCTGGGGTGGCACTCCCTGTTCTGGGGAGCCCAGTACCTTCTGGGAAGTGGCAAAAGTGCCAGGGTTAGGTGACTACCCTTGTACGGGAGGAAGAGGAGGGAGTCCTAGTGCACACATGGAAGAATGGGGGTGACCCCAAAGGCCTCGGGTTTCTCCTAGTTAGGAGAATGAGCTGGAGTTAGGGGGATTGTGGGGTTTGGAAATCTCGTTCTAGAAACACCCTCTGCAGGCCTCTCCTGGCTCTGGGCCCTCACCTCCTCATACCCATCTTCTCCTTATCTGCCCTTTTCACTATACCTTGTTGTGATGACCCATCTGGGCTGGCGACATCTGGCTCCTAGCTGTAGTCTAAGGCAAAACCCTTAACTACCCTCTCTGAGCCTCAGTTTCCTTGTCTGTAAAATGGGGGGTGGTGGTGAGGGTGGGACAAGAAAACCAACCTCACAAGGTTTTTGCCTGGTACAAAGACAAGGCCAGAGAAGTAGAGGTTATATGTTATGATTTCCTGTGTCTGTCTGTCAGTGGTTCTAGTTCAGTCCCCTCCCTTTTTCTCACCACTTCACTTCTCACTTCCCCTCCCACTTCTCTCAGGCTTTCTCTCACCGTCTTCAATGTCTGGGGCACGGGATACCAGGAATGTTTCCCGGGGGTCGGGCTTCTTGGCTTCCGGGTCCCTGAGGAACTTGGTGTAGAGGGGGTGTGGCGCCTGGGCATCAGATGGTTCCTTCGCAGGCTCCTCCTGTGGCTTCCCCCTCCTCCCCGCTGAGCCAGGAAGTGGGAGGGGAGGGTCAGGCAGGTTCTCCAAGCCAGGGTCCAGGAGACCTAGCACCTCCCTCTACCCTTCCTTTCCCAAGGCGTCCCAGACCTGAGGCGCCTCACTCCAGAGGGGACTCCCCACCCCAGGGGACTCCTCTGGGCTCTGTTTCCACCTTTGACACGCACACCCCCATCAATATCCCCTCCATCACCACCCTGCCCCACATCTTGGGGAGCATCCCTGACTCAACCCCAGCCCCCTCCTGCAGCCCCCAGCCTCTTCAGCTTCTACCCCTCCAGTTCATCTACTCCCCTCTGTCCCTAGGGTGGGATCTGTGACTCAGTTACACCCTTCTCCTGCCCTCAAGCCCCCTTCCCACATACCTCTCCCTGGGAGGTGCCCCTCAACTCAGCCCCTTGCCCACCTCCAGGTCTCCGAGGCTTGGATCCCTTGGAACAGGGGGACTCTGGGACATCTGCCCTCTTCTTCCTCAGCTTCTGTCCAGGGACAGGTCGCTGTGGAGCGGGTGTTCAGGAGGAGGGAGAGGAAGGAAGGGGGGATTGGAGGGCTGCCCATCACCCTCTAATCCCTTGAGCTGCCAGAAATAACTGCAGATTATCTGGAGGGGAACTGCAGCCCCCTGATGGGCTGAGTGAGAGAGGATGACCCCCTCCCATGTATCATGTTGTTGTTGTTGTTATGTGCCGTAGAGTCGGCCCCGACTCATAGCGACCCCTCCTTGGGTTTCCGAGGCAGTATCACTACGGAAGTAGGATTGCCCAACCTTCCTTCCGAGGAGTGGCTGGTGGGTTTGAACCGCCAGCCGTCTGGTTAGCAGGCAAGTCATAGCCACCTTCAATTCCCAAAAGCCCAAATTCCTCCCCTCCACACCCCATGTTCCCCAAAAACTTCAGACACCCAGCTGCTGCTGAGGGGGACTCTCCTCATCCTCCCCCCCCACACCAATCTCCCACCCCGGGTGGGCTTATGCACAGTGTGGGGATCTTTCTGCCTCCTCTACAAGGAGGGGTGACATACCTGCTTGGGGCGTCTCTGAGCCTCTGGGCTCCCACCTTCCTCCTCATGTTCGCTGAGGGTGGCAAAGGAATCAGCCAGTCTCTTCCCCTTCCGCTTCCCCTTCCCCTTCCCTATTGCTCCCCACCTAGAGCCCCCCCCCCCCCGTGCCCTCTCATGGATCAGGTGGAGATGACATGGGGGGCTTCCGAACCTGTCCGAGGCCCACACCTCTCGGAGGGTTTCATCCTGCAGCGGCATGATGCATTTGCTTGATCTGTACCCCTTCTCTGGTGCGTCTGTAGGAGCCTTCCACCCTACTCCAGCTAATCCCAGCTCAACCTCTCCCCAGCCCCCACCTGCCTGGCTCAATCTGTGGAGGCCTGGCAGCACTGTGGGAGGTGCTCCTGTCCACCCTGGGCACTTGGCTTCCCCAGGCCCAGGCACTGAGGGAAGAGCACCCCCAAGTTCTTCTCAAACACCCAGTAGCCTCAGTGGTCAGTGGGGGTGTGGGAAGAAAATATTAGATGGGATCCTGTATTTTTCCCTTTTTTCAAAATTTTTATTGTGATTTTGAGAGCTCTGGTGGCATAGTGCCTAAAGCATTTGACTGCTAACCAGAAGGCTGGCGGTTCAAACCCACCAGCCACTCCTTGGAAGGAAGATGGGGCAATCTACTTCCGTAGTGATACTTGGAAACCCAAGGAGGGGTTGCTGTGAGTCAGGTCTGACTTGACGGCACGTAACAACAACAACAATAGCCATGTGCCCAGTGCTCTACCTAGATTATCTCAAGTCATTCTCCTAGTACAGTTGTACTTCTGTGGCTCAGAGAAGTTAAGCAATTTTCCCGAAGTCACACAGCTGGCATTTGGAGTCATACTGTTAACTGAGCATCTACTATATGTCTACTATTTGCATGTGTTATCTCTGGTTTCTATAGAAAATTTGAAGAGCAGGTGGGCACATTACTTAACCTGTTTTCTTCCCGGTGGTAATTATATAGTTGATTCCCATTATTCATGGTAGTTATGATCTATAAACAGCCCTGGTGGTGCAGTGGTTAAGTGCTCTGCTGCTAACCAAAAACTCTTTGGGGAGAAAAATGTGGCAGCTTCCTTAAAGAATTACAGCCTTGGAAATTCTATGGGACCATTCTACTCTGTCCTACAGTATTGCTATGAGTTGGAACAGACTGTACAGCAACAGATTTATTGTCTATAATATAGCTCTGGTGGTGCCATGGTTAAACAGTTGCTAACTAAAAGGTTGGTGGTTCAAACCCACTCAGCAGCTCCACAGGGAAGAGGCCTGGCAACCTGCTCCCATAAAGATTGTTGTTGTTATTTGCCATCGAGTCGGCCCCGACTCATAGCGACCCCTCCTTGGGTTTCCGAGGCAGTATCACTACAGAAGTAGAAAT